AGGCACTTATCATCCCCTCCCTGGTGGTGTCCCTGATGCTCTTCAGGAAGGTGAAAATGTGGGACCCACCAGTGCCTTTGGCCTCCAGCGCAGATGGAGGTTTCCCCACGGAGGAGCCAACCCTGGCGCCTGGCTCTGCCTGCCTGGCCTTGACTTTGGCCGCCGCGACGCTGATGTACTTGGTGACGATGATGATGTGGTAGGACCTGAAGTCTGCCAGTGCAGACACACACTGGTTGAACACCGCGCGGAGCTGCGCGTCCCCGGAGGAGAGCACGTGCTGCCTCAGGGACGGGGCATGGTGGATCTCCTCCACGAAGGCTCTGTGGGGCCGGGGCATGTAGTCTCTCATCCTGTGCAGGAAGGCAGCTGCAAGACACCAGCAAAGGAAGGAATAAATTGTGGGTGAGTGAGTCAAAGCCCCCTGATGTTCTCAGAGAGCAGCTTGACTGGACGTCTGGTGTTAGCCCTGTTTGCAGGGATCACAGTGCTGGTGATAGCAACAGCCTGCACTGCCTCCTCTGCTCTGCCTCTAATTAAGTGAGAAAGAAAGCCTATATTAGGGCAGAGCTCTGTTAGGGTTTGTCCTAACCCTAAAAGGCAGTTTTTAGTCCTGCTCTCCCAGCCTTTTATTTTGGGTCAGATATTTTTTACTAGTAGAGTGGTTTTGCTGATTTCTGATAAACATTTCTGTTGTGGGCTGGATTAACACAGAGCTCTGTGAATGGATGAAGTAAATCACTGGCAGGATGTCAGTGTGCTTTGCTCCTTTCTCTCTGGGCCCATAGAGAACCTCAGTAAAACGCTGAGGTGCAAAAAGCAAAGTGTGTCCATCTGGGAATTTAAGATGGTGAGGAAGCACCTACCAGAGCCACCTGTATAACCTTCCTTCCTAAGGAACCAGGCAGAGCTGGGCTCTGCAGGGGTGAGATGGGCAGCATCCTGCTGCCTGGCAGAGCTTGCACAGCCATGGGAATCACTCCAGCTCATCTCTTCCCCTGCCCCTTTTTTGCTTTGGAAAAGGAAAAGTGTGTGGCTTACTGCTGTCCTCGCTGTGGCGGATCCCCAGGAGCTCATCGAAGGCGTGCAGGACTGTGCTCTGAGCCGCACTCCCTCCCGAGTATGCCATGGGCTCCTTGGACACGCCTTCATAGATGAGCCCGTCTGGCATGGCAGGGTTGTCCTTCCAGCTGAGCAGGAGACGCAGCAGTCAAGGGGTGGGTGGGGATGGGGGTGCTGTGAGAAGGAACCTGGGCTGGCCAGATTGAGCAAAACCCTCCTGGCCCAGCCCATGGATCTCCTCCTCCTTGCTCAGCTGTGTTAGCCCTCCTCAAGCAGGAGATAAACTTGGAAATAAAACACGGTGCCAAGGCACACAACGAGCTCGTGGGTGTAGGGAGAGATCCTTAATTTTCCTTTGCCAGGAGCTAGGGATTGTTCTCTGGGATTGCCATGCCCTGGTGAGCACCCTGGGGCATGGTGCCGGGACATGCTGCCCTGCCTGGCAGTAGCTCCTGCTCCATCTTGATAAGGTTTGTGTGAGCAGAGCTGCCTTTGGTGTGCAAGAGGGGAGGGGGCAGTTGTCCGGGCAACAGTGGCACTTAACATCAATTCCTGGAATGCCAGTGGCTGTTCACAGAAGTCAGGTTGCCTCTGCAGCAGGTAGAGTCACCCAAATGCTCCTCCAAGTCCCTGAAGTTTGTACTTTGAATTTTCCTTTGCTTCTCTTACTCAAGGTGATGCCTTTAAAGGCATTTAAGGGATAAATAGAGGCCATGCCAGCCTACTTCTTTTTATCTCTGCAAATAACAAGGCTGGGATGGGATTTCCTCCCTCTGAAGCTGCTGGTCCCTGGCAGGCCAGGAGCTGGCAGCTTCCCCTGCACACCCTGAGCTCAGCCCCTGTCAGCCCCCATTGTGCAGAAATGGAGCAGTGCTCACTCCCAAATGGAGAGAGGAGTTACGATTTCAGGGAGATAAAGTGCCTGGCACAAAAATATCTGTTGACCTTCTGCAGAATGCACCGTTCTGTGAGGCTTTCAGTGCTGGCTGCTCCGGCTGTTGGGCTATGGGAGCAGATTCTGCACAAACTGCAGAGAAAATAGATTCATTATCAAATACCAGAATATTTTTAGTTCTCCCAGGAATGTATTTATAGTAACCCTACTAGTGGGAAGTTCTTATAAGCAGCAGGAAATTTAAAAGGCATGTTTTTCCAGGCTGATGACCATCAAGACAAGGCCAGCTTGGATGAAAAAAATGAGAGAAACCTAATCAGGATGCATAGAGCCTTTTGACTTCGGAATGCTGAGATATTCTGAAGAAAAATAAAAATAGAACCCCCCGAACAGCCCCACAGGGAATGAGCAGTTGTGGATGCTGCAGCCCCGCAGGGATGGTGAAGGATAGTGAAGGCACTGCACTGGGCTCTTGGGAATGTGGTTCTGCCTTGCCCAAATGGCTTTTTCAGTATTTTGGGGGCGATTTTCTTTTTTCTTTAACTGACAGAGTTGTAATGCAACAGCAGCAAGTGGCTTGTTATGGATGTTTCCTTAATTCACAGCAGGAAGAGCCTCTGCTCAGCTTTGTGTACATAGTGTGGAAGTAGAGAGAAATTCCTATTCTCCTGTCAAAACTGTTTGCCCAAGAGCAGGAATTATTCATTTGTACCCAGTTCTGGGTGTTGGGGCACAGAGACTGTGCTGGGGTTGAGCTGAGGTGCAGGAAGGAGGAGGTTGGAGAGGGCAGACCCCAGCCCTCAGCCACGGTCTGTGCCTGGTGCACACAGAACCTGGGAACTCCAAGAGGGACAGGATCATGATGCCCTCATGATGCCCTCAGTGCTGCTCCCTACCCTGCCCTGGGGCACCCTATGCCCCTTTTGGGCTGCCCCTTCCAAGCACATCCCCAGCTCTCCCCTGCCCCAGGAGCTGCCAGCACAGTGGCTCTAAACGGAAATGCTCTACACTTACCCAGAGAGAAAGATCCGTATCACAGCATAGAATACTGCTGGATCCACATAGTCTAGGAGGAAATCAGTCAGATCAGAGGTGATTGGCACTTACGCCTACACTGTGAGCTGCAGTGTGCATGGGGCTGTGGGGACATGAGCTACCCTCCAGCCGTGGGCTGCTCTCACCATGCATCCGCCTCAGCGCCTCACTCATAGCCCCAATGGCCCCTGCCAGCTCCTCCAGGGCTCTGCACAGGGCCTCCTTATCATGCTGCAGGATGGCACCAAGGGCCTGGACGACTGCCTACAAAGGAAAGGAGGGAGAGCACTAAGTCACGAGAGGGTGGGAAGTCTGTGTACAGCGGCTCTGGACACTTGCTGCCACCCACACCGATGCTGCCCCTTTCCCAGAGGGACAGAGGACAGGGATACCTTGTGGGTGCACCTCAGGGCCTTTTCCAGGTGAGCAAAGAGCCCTGAGGCACAGCAGTACCCACCTTAATGCCAGGCACAGCTGCTTTCTCAACCAGGAGGGTGACGAGGATGAAGCCTCGCAGGCTCTCTCCTCCAGGCAGTGTGATGATGGTGTCCAGGTTTCTGTATGGAGCATCCGAGAAGATGGATTAAGGTAGTTGTGGCTCAAGAGTTCCTTGTACACCCCAGGACCCACTAAGCCCTTGAAGCAAAACCCTCCCAGGCTGCAGAGCCTCATTATCTGCACCCTGGGCAGAGAGGAGCTGGTGCAGAGCGAAAGGGAAACAGGGCTGCTCTGGTTTAGGGGGAACTGTCACCCACCCTGTGCCCTCCCCATGGCTCATGGCTGCTGGATCTGTGCAGACCAAGCAGCCTGTGGTTCTGCTGCAGTCACTTTGCTGTCGTCGCAGTGGCATTTGTGTGCCAAACACTGTTTTTGTTGTGCTCACACATCGAGAAAGGTTCAGTCTAAGCAGAGCCCTGCAGTGCTGGAGAGCTGAGCCAATCCAAACAAAACCAACACCGTTGGAAAATAAATGAGCATCTTAAATACTTACTCGATTTCCAGAGGCCTGAAGGCGTTTCAGTTATGGCCAACAAATGCATGAGAAAAGGAGAGAGAGGGAGAGAAGTGTTATAAATTGTTGCAGGAACAGCTGAGCTCTGCAGGGAATAGAGGAGCTGCCCCCAGGGGCTGCTCTCAGAGGTATCCGCATCCCCACGGGGGTCCTGTGTCCCCAGCAATGATGGGGTTCAAGGAGTTTTGGCAGAAGAGGAGCAGTTTGGGAATGGTCTGTCCCCAGCACCTGCTCATCGCTGCTGCCTGACCACGGGAAGAGCTGTGCTCTGTCCACCAGCGTTTGCCCGTTTACCCGTTGGGGTCCTTCCTCCTCCAGTTGGCCAACACAAAGTCCGCGTGGCTGAGGATGGGTGGGAGGCCCAGGGCCTGTGAGACCTCCCAGTAGGGGACGGCGAGATTTTGGGGCAGAACCTGAATGGCACAAAGCACAGGGGAAAACAGGGATGCTGTCAGGCTGCTGAAAGGTGCCCATCTGTGGGCACCAGCCAGGCAGGAGGGGACATGCTCCTGCTGCAGCCACAGGATGAGCTCCAGGGGAGCGGCATCAGCCCCCAAATCCCAAGGAGCAGGTGAACTTGCTCTGAATTTGCTTTACCTGCACAGTGCCCTCCTCGCCCTCTTGCCAGACGTAGCCCATGGTGATGAAGCTGAGCACCAGGTGAGCCAAGTGCAGCTCCTCACGCCCTTGGAGGTGCTGGGCGCTCAGCTGTGGCATCTGCCAGGGAAACCCTTGGGAGCAAGGGGCAGTGCCAAGGGCAATGCCAAGGGCCCCTACAGTGGAGGGCTGCCCTGCCAGCCAGGGGCACTCATCTAGTGCCTCTCCCTGCCTTCAAGCTTCCCTTCCCTCCCACCCTGCAGGACTTGCTCCTGCTCCGCTCTTGCTCGTTTCTGAGCAATCTGCAGGATTTTCCTCAAGGCATCCCTCTCCGTGGTGCTGGGATGCCTGTGGAGCAGCAAATCCCTGTATGCTGGAGGAGTCTGAGCTCACGGAGCACCTGGGCCCCTCGGTGGGGATGAGCCACGGCTCTTGTGCCCATCTAGAGGGTCCCCTGCTTGCCCTGCCCCAGCCCTCGCTGGCTGCTGCACCCCTGCATCTGCACATGAGATATTTCTGCACCGAGGGTAAGGCTTTGCTGTCGCCTGGTGTCAGCCCTGGCTCAGGACACGGCTGTGCTGCTGTTTAGCTTTTCCACGCGTCTTGCAGACACTGCTGTATCAGAACAAGGTTTGAGAGAGCTCCAGAGCCAGGAAGGAGAACACGGTACCTGGTGAACACGTGAGCGGAGTTGGTGGCTCGTGATCAGCTGGGGCAGCTCGCGGGCAATCTCCATCCAGGGGCCGTAAGGCGCTGGCAGCTCTGTCTTGGTGAAGAGAGGCAGAGGGAGGGCTGTAAATGTGCTCAGCATTGCAAGGCTGTGTTTACTCTCCCTGGATCCTGTGCAGCTCAGGACTCAGCAGCTGTGCTCATGCCTGCAGGGAGGGAGTGGAGAGGACACCACCAGCCCAGGCTCCCAGCACCCACCCAGCCTTGCACATTGCAGCTGATGGCTTGTGTCTGGTTCCTCCTGCTGTAACACGCCTGTGTGGTCACACATTAATGGATGATGAACATGACCTGCCTGTTCCTGCACACTCCCAATGTGGAGTTAGCACAGTGATAAATGGCCCCCCACTTTGGGCACGGGAGACCTGCAGGATGACTGCTCTCCTTGTTCTCCCAGAAATCCTGTAGAGCAAAGGTCAATGTATGAATGGTAAAGCTCATTCTCCTCTCCCTTGTGCCACTTGCTGCAGTCACTTTCATCATTTTTAAGTGAGGGGTTTGTCCTATGAGACTGCCTGTGCCAAAATAGCACCTGCCATCCTTACTGCACTTTGTAAACTGTTATAATGAAGCACTAAATCAAAAATCCCCTAGAAAGCCACTCAACAACCCCTCTGTGTTCCTCTTTGCCTTCTGCAGCATGCAGACAGGGAGGCACAGCCGGTTCCTACCAGAGGACTGGGAAGCAGGAAGCCAAACTCCTCGGAGACCTGAAACCTGGTCAGTGCCAGAGGCAGCAGGGACTCCTCCATGCCATTGCCAGCCTCCATCGTCGGGCGCTGGTCGCAGGGTCCGGACGGGCTCTGGCCTGGCTGCCCCTCTGCTGGTATGTGCTGAGCCAGCGCTGCCTGTCCGGTCGGTGGGAGTGTACCTTGTCCAGCTGCCCAATGGCTGGAGGGTCTGAGCAAACATGGGTAAAGGTTGCTGATAAGGCTTTGTCATGGAGTAAACACTGATCTCTGTCTTTGTGGGCACCCACCCGTGGGGAAGGCTTAGGGATGTGGGCTGGCTTCCCTCAGGACCACCCCGAGGGGCTGGCAGGCTCAGTGGGATGCTGCATGGAGGTGGTCTGGGATGGCAGCTCAGAGACACTGTCTGAGGCTGGGGATCCCCACAATCCCGGCAAAATGCCACCTCGTGTGCCATGGGCTGCTGACCTAACTGTGACACACAGGATCCAACCTCCCTGCCTGGGGGGTGGTCGATGCTGGGAGACTTGTGCTGCCATCTGGGCCGAGATGGATGAAACGGGGCTGGAAGGGACCTCATGGCAGAGGCTGCTGTTTCCCTGCAGTGCTGCCTTTGTAGCCTGGCAGATAGGTCTCCTCCCTGCAGCGAGAGCGGTGAGGGGGCTGCCTGGCACAGGGGGATTTCCTGGCACTACGCCGCTCTGACGAGTCGGGCTTCCTCCGCTGCTCCAGCCCACCCTCCTGCCAGTCTCACACCAGGCGAAGGAGCCTACGGCCAGGGCAGGGACCCCACAGCTGGGGATCACTGGGGCAGCCCAGTGGGTCCCCACCATCCGAGGGGGCTCGACAGGGTGCTCTGAGTGGGGCAGTTAGGATCTGGTTTGTGAGAGGTGCCTCTGTCCAAATTAAGGTGCTATCGAGATCATATGGAAAAAGACAATACATTAATAATATAATAATCATATAATCCACCAGGATGGATGAGACCTCAAAGATCACTGGGTCCAACCCTATCGTCATTACTAGACCCTGGCACTAAGTGCCACATCTAGTCTCATCTTGAAAACTTCCAGGGATGGTGAATCCACCGCCTCCCTGGGCAGCTGATCTTCGGGCACGTGAGGTTTGCTGTCTGAGGAGCCTGTCAATGCTAGCTCAGGTGGACAGATCACTACAATGTTATGTGACACATTCCCTAGTATTTCCAGTCCTTGCTGGCTGAACAGTCAGAGTTAAGATGACCATGTGTTATGATCTGATTTGTGAGAGGTGCCTCTGCCCAAATTAAGGTGCCAATGAGACCATATGCCAAAAGACAATAAAATGTTAATAATATAATAATAAGGGGTTTCTTTGATTATAATTATGAGAATGAAATAGGAAAGAGAGGGGGAAAAGAGAGTGAAGGGAAGAGAGAGAGGAGGGTAGAAAGGCAGAAAAGAGAGAGTCACCACCTGTGGATCCAGCAGTGTCCCATTGGTCCTCCTTCACCCTGGGCGTCTCAGTGGTGGGGGTCCTGAGTTGCTCATCTCAGGGTACCACCTCAATGATCTTGGAGGTCTTTTCCAACCTGGTTGATTCTATGATTCTATGACTCTATGATCAGAGGCAGCCACGGCACCTGCCTTTTCCACCAGCACCACTGTCCCCACCAGACAGTCCCCAGCATCAGGCAGCTTCACAGACCTTGCAGATGGACAAACCACCACCACGCGCCTGCAGAGAAAAGGGGACATGCGGCGGCTGCAGCCCTGAGACCAGGGTTAACTGACAAAAAGCACAAACTAGGTTAGCATAAAACCACAGGGCACTGCCCATGACACCAACTTTGCCTGACACCTTTAATCAGCGCCTATAGTGCTGCCCCAGCTCTGGCTCTTATGCTGGGTCCATGTCTGTCTTCAGCTCCAGGTCCAGTTCCAGCTCTGATTCCATCTGCAGCTCCGGGTCTGGGTCCTGCTCCAACTCTGATTCCATCTGCAGCTCCAGGCCCAGTTTTGATTCTATCTGTGGCTCTGGCTTCAGATCAGGCTCCTGCTTCAACTCTTGGTCTGGCTCCATCTCTGGCTCCATGTCAGTGTCCCAGCTGGCACTGCAGAGAGACCTGAAGCAGTGCCTCAGCCCTGGCCTGACTTGGGGAGCATCTCAGTCTCCCAGGGTCACCTCAGCCCAGGGATAACCTCAGCCCTTGGGAATCTCCTCCTGCCCCGCCAGGAATCTCCCTGTACCACAGAGGGAATCACCTCATCCCCTCCCCACTCAGGTATCCCCTCAGCCCTCCTGGAGAGCACCACAGCCCCCTCCTGCACTCTACATCCCCCCAAGAATCCTGTGGCAGGCAGGGCCCCACTCACCCCTCTGTGCCTGGGGACTGCCGGCCATAGAAGCAGCCGAGCACCTGGTGCTGCTGCAGGATGAGGACAACAGCCACGGCAAGGATGAGCAGGATAAGGCCAAAGCCCAGTAACAGCCAGAAGACCTCCTCACTCTCCCTTGCTCGCTGCAGAGTCAGGCCTGGCAGGAGACAGCTCAGCTGGGCACAAGGCACCACCACCCTGCCCGTGCTGTCCCCCTGCCGTGGCCCACACTTACCTCCCGCGCTGCGCCACCAGCGGGACCTCTTCTGCCGGCAGTCTGGGGGCTGCCAGCCCGCGTGGCAGTGGCATTGACCCTTGTTGTTGCACACCTGGAAGGCCCAGGGGTGAGATACAAAAGTGCAATGAACTCACAGCACCTGTCCCCCTACAGTCCCTCTGGTGACTTACGCCGTGGCCGTGGCACTTCACGTTGCTGTCACAGGTGTATCCCAGCACAGAGCGTGCCTGACACGTGTTGTTTATGCACACCTAGGGAAAACCACCTCAGCTCCAGCCCAGCACTGCCTCACCCACACAGCACTCGGTGTGTCAGGCTATGGCCCAAAAGGGAGGGAAAACATACTATTTCTAAGAAATAAAACAAAAAAAAGCCATATTAGGCTCTAGGGTGGGTTACGCCTCGAGCTCACACCACACCAAACATTAAATGCAACATCTGCATGTTTTTACAGTGGTTTAAAATATCAAGCGCGTTGATGCTGCAAGGAGCAAGTGTTTCAAAAACCTTGTTAATATTTAGTTTGTATCTGCCATTTCAGATGGTCACAAAATGTTTCCTCACCTTTCCAGGGCCACACTTTGTCCCTGGTGGGACCAGACATGGATCTGGACACGCTGGTACAGTCAGATAAGCCAGAGAGACACACAGATGCTCCCGCACTTTGGCATAAATCACGGCAGCAGTGGCTGACGGGAAGGGTTTGCTGGATGGGTACGTGCAGATCAGCTTCCCACACCTGAGATCCCTGGAAAACCAATTTGCACAGGATGTATATCACACACACACACACACACACACACGTGGTGTCTGATGAACACTGAAACATTAAACAGCACAGTCTAGAGCACAGTGAGAAAACATCAGCAGGACTGGGAAGTCCAAGAGAGGATCTGTGACACAGAGACACCAAAACAAACAGAACACACAGAGAACTATTTGTTGCTTCACAAATCTCATGATAAACTAGAGTCCTGACATTTCCCTTGACTGTCAAGTCCCAATTTTGGCAGAGCCAGTGCCCCTCCTCAGCTTACCTCCAAGCACAGGGCTGGTACCCATGTCTGGGCTGGAACCCACAGTTCCCAAACCTGTCCCGCTGGCTGTTGATCTCCTCGTAACAGGCCACAGGAGCATTCTTTGAACCTACAAGTTTAGCAGTAATATTTGTTATAGTTTAAAGAAATACAAAGGAACATATTATGGTATCTAATAACGCCATTTTCATCACAGGGAAAATATACCTGTTACTGCCCAGCCCAACCCCCTAGCAGTCCTGAACCCCATAAATCAGCAAGGGACTAGCAAATGGGTCAGTCCTCTGATCAATTTGCCCACAGATAATAATTTGCTTTTTGTTGTTTCCACTGTTATCTCTGAAGTGCTGGGGGACTCTGTTAATCAGAGTCAAAACCAACCTTAAAACCCTTTCCTAAACACATGCCCCTCTTCTTGCTGCCCCACTGTGACCTGAGATCAGTGCACCGAAGGGCACAGACACAAACTGAGCATTGTCCTTCTCCAGCCACCCGTGCCCCCAGCACAGCCTGTTACCTCTGCCAAAGAGCCGCTGGCGGGACTGGCAGCGTCCGTGGTAGCAGTAGCCGGTGCCACGCTCACAGCTGTGCCCATCCTGCACGTACAGGTCGGAGGGACAGGACGCGGAGGAGCCACTGCAGTACTCGGGCAGGTCACACTGGGCATCGGCAACTGGGCGGCACGGAGAGTTCTTCCGCCTGAACTGGAGAGGAGGAAGAGCTCTTCATCCTCACACTCCTGCCAGCCTGAGCCCACTCAACCCTCCTGACTCGGGCTTCAGGATCACCTCTGAGGCACTCAGATCACCACATGCATGTGACACTGCCCAGAACACTCCCACAGCAATATCCCCCCCAGGGGTTCCCAGGAGCTGAGTTGAGAAGTCCAACCCCAGGAACTTCTCCCATTGCACTGCAGGAAGTTTGGCTCCACCCCTCAGCATGGGAACACACCATTTCTCCCAAAATAAATAATGATCTTGTTATAATTATAAAAACATGCCTTACCTGACATTTTTTACAACATAATCCAGAGGAACATTTCGCTCCTGGCTTCAACTGGCATGTTTCAGTGCAGCACTTGTTCTTCAGGCATCTCTGGGGACACATGGCAAACCCACATTATTCTACTTTTCTGTACCCCTGAGGTTCTCCTCTTCCTCCTTCTCCCCAAAAAAAGCTACTCTTGAGCAATATCCAGCAGAGCAAATGTGCAAAGTTGCCACTAGATCGATGCCACCGTAGAAACAATCTCAAACGCATCATAACTCTTCCTGGGCTGCTGCCCCTCTGCAGTGGGGCCTCCAGTCTCAAGCATTCGTTATCCCATACCTATCCACAGCACAAATGTAGGGATTTAGCCATGATTCCCACAGCACCCACCTGGTCCTCCCCACAGTCACACTGCTCGCCTGGCTCCAGCACACCATTGCCACAGACAGCTGCACTCTGCTGGGACCCACAGACAGCCGCACTCTGCTGGGACAGGCTGGCCAAACGGGGTCTGTGGAAAAGGCATGTGCCTCTGCCCTGCCGCAGGAAGGTTGCAAAGTCCCCAGCACTGCAGTTGCTGAAGGCTTTTGCCCCACTGAAATGTCTAAAATAAAGCAATTATCAGGTTATATGTTACACATTCACTGTCCTTCGCTCTCTCCAAAACTCTGTGCAAGTCAAGGGCTCACCCAGACACCAGCCCTGGGTGTGATGGCCCTCGGGGTCTCGTCAGTTCACCTGACCTACAGCTCAGTCTTAACAGAGACTGAGAAACATTCAGAAGTGCCTTTATCTCGGAGAGCAAAGGTCTCTTTTGTCAAATTAAACACTGAACTGCTATTTAAATATTCTTTTTTCCTTCTCCAAGGAATAAAATCAGGTATTTCTTCATGGTTGTCAGGCATGGACGGGGCTGCTTAGGGAGGTGGTGGACTCACCATCCCTGTGGAGGTGTTTTCAAGGAATGACTGGACATGGCACTTAGTGCCATGGTCTAGTCGACAAGGTGGAGATCAGTCAAAGGTTGGGCTTCAACCTAAATGATTCCATGATTCTGATTTGTTGTAGTTTTTGCAATGGAATGACATTTGTCGAGGACACCTCTGAGGAGGGGACACCATGGCACCACTCCCATTCACTCACAGTGCCTCGGGGCTCATGATGCAGACGCGCCCAGCGCAGCCGCAGGCTCGGGAGCTGTCGGAGCTCACGCCCAGGCTGCGACTCACCACCTGCGCCAGAAGGACGGAGAATGGCTCCAGTGTCACGTTCCCAGGGTACTAGAGGGAAAAGAGAGTTGGGCTGCTACAGCTGTGCATTCCCTGCAGAGACCCCCACTCTGGACACAGACACTCCCACCCATCCCTGTGCCTGCTGCCATAGGTGTTCCCGGCTGCACAGCCCTGTGGGCACGGGGGGACAGGAATGGGACAGGTGGGACCATACCAGGACCACTGCGGCAGCAGCATCTCTCTGACATGCCTTTCCCAGAGCTGTTGTGCCCACAAACACTCCTTGGTCCCTGTACCTGGAACAGAGGTGTGTTCACTGGTCATCCAGCCCATGACACCCTGTGTCTGTGGGTAAGTGGGGGATCCCAGGTCTGTGCAGCCTGAGTCCCCTGGGTGCCCCCAGCTCCTCTGTTGCCCCTGGGGCAGCTGGAGCAGTGTCTGTTTCCAGGGGCCAGTGCCCAGTGCCAGGCAGGGACCAGAGCTGCCACCATCACTGTGCCAGGGCCCACCTCCCCATCTTGGACAGGTGGGATGGGACGGATGGCACCATCACAGCTGCTGCAGCACCACTGAAAGGCTTCCTGGAAGGAATGTCTTGGAAGAAATACTTCCAGAACATTAAGCAATTAGGAAATATGTAAGAAATATGCTATTTAAAAAAGCACTTGTCACAGAAATCTTTATAGTTCAACCTACATTTGTTTAACTGATTTCTACCATGTAACCTTTAACGCTAAGGAAGCTTTATCTTACCCTAAGAGAAAAGCAATGTTGTGTTCCTGCAATACCAGAGATGACTGTTTCCACTGCAAAAAACGCTGCAGAAGGTCATCTGCATCCCCTGCTGTTGATATTTTATCCCCCTCTGCCCACAGCTCCAGGGAGGACAGCACAATGGTGACATTAAGGAGATTAAACATCTGAAAGTGTAAGAGAAGAAACACCTGCTCACTCACCTTCCCTTCACACAGAGTCACTGCTCTGTGCACAATGAACACACGGGAAAAGCTAATGACTGCTGTCAGGCCTTCAATGGAACCTGTGGCCAAAATGTATGATCATAACTAAAAATAAAGGGATATAGCAAGAGGCCTGAGCCAAAGCTCAACAAACTTCATACAAAGGTGTCAGGAGTTTTGAGAACAACTTCTCATTACACACACGAATAATAACAGCACCAGGGGAATGTGGAAGTTGCTTATAAGGACCTGAGAGGAGCAGGTTAATTGGGTCAGTGCAATCAGGAATCTGCAGCACAGAGAGGGCAACAACCCAGGAGGCCTCAAAACCCTGGATCTTGGCTGCCCTAAAACAAACTGCCTGTGTTTCTCTGTATCTGCATGAGACATGGCCATCACATAGGGAAGCATATTTTTTTGGAGCAGACTGACATGTCCAGAGGAAATACTTCCTTGGAAAATCTGGAATTTTTTACATAACCTCCTCCTAAACCCAAAAGCAGCGAGGAAAGAGGTGGCAACTGTTAATCTCAACCACCCCCCACCATCTTACTGCAATACAAACCAGACTTTAAAACTCACATTGTTGACTAAATTGAAGGCCTGGATTATCTTCTGCATTGCAGCATTCGGGTCTGACCCCATATAGTTATACTGAAAAACAACCCAAGAGAACACAAGAGCAGATGAGGCAATTCCCAGGGTGAAGCAGAACAATACTGGAACACTGCAATGACTCCCAACACTCAGCCATAGAGATGTGAGCTACAAATTTGCATCCCTTCTTTCCTACGAAATCCACACTACATGTAACTTTTCAAAAGAGAAAACAAATCCATGTCAAAACTGGGAAATGGCACCATTTCCATGCTCATGGAAGTCAGGCAAAGACAAGGAGAAAGTGGCTGGCATGGACTTACCAAAGCCTTGTCCAAAACCACATACACACTGAGGTATTTGGGAAATTGTGCTGCAGCTGAGAGGGGCTGAAAGAGAAAATGGGCTCCAATGTACCAATTTCTGCTTTCTCTGGTCATCTCACTGGTGCCATTTGCTGACGTGTCCCTTCAAAGCTTGTGTCAAAGTGCCTAGCTAAAGATTCCTATGAGATCAAGCCCTTCCTTGCAGGACAGGGACACCAGCAGCATGGCAAGAATGGGCACCGCTCACCTCATCATCCTTGGGGGCCTCGTCCAACATCTCTCCTGCTGCCAGCCCACCTAGCCCTCTCCCTGTGGAGCTGTGGGCCAGGAGGGAATCTGCAGTCTTGTCCTGGCTCACTTGATACACGAGGTGCTGGAACTCGGAGGAAGAGCCCAGGGGTTCAATCCCATAGCTGATGTTCTCAAACTGCAGCAAACCCCTGCCAAGGTGCCAGCACCAGCCATTTGCTCCTGGGCACTGGGGCAGCTGTCCCTGCCCCAGCCCTGGCTGCCTCTGAGCATCACAGGGACGTAGTGGTTCCTTACCTGAGCCCCGAGCAGGTGCTGAGGGTCACTGCCGAGCTGGGGAAGCCATCAATGTACCCTCGGTAGTGGCAGCCTTTCTACAACATGACAGAGAACAGAGAGAACCCTTTCCATGGCGAGGAAGGTGATTTCCACACCCAACACCCAGACAGCTGGACAGGCCAAACTGGGCAGAGCTCCACACGGTGACACTTACAGTACAAACACCCCAAAGCAAGGCCAGGTTACCTGGAGGTGGGCTGGATCAGAGGGCAAAGATCCTTGCTCATTAGAGATGTAAATCTGGAAATCATTGGATAAAAAGGCACTGCAAGAGAAAGGTGCAAAGTGAAGCACTTAGAGCAGTATCAATTACCCTGAGCTTCCTGCAGGTCCTGCAGGCACCAGGGGAACAGGGCAGCAGCTGTCAGCAAGGACAACGAAGGGGCCAACTCACTGCTTCTGCAGGTGGATGGTGTAAAGATTGCCCTCGATCCTCAGGACATAGGACTCTGCATCCTTGTGCACGTGGAAAAGCAGAGAAGGGGAGAATTAGGAACAGGGAGTTGGGAGCATCATGCTCCAAGGCCTGCTAACACTGAGGGGGAGCACAGAGCAGACACAGCACAGAGCTGACAGCTCAGCTGTGGTGACATCGCTACAGCTGCCAGGACATCTGTCCCCGGCCCAGCCCTCCCCTGCAGCTGCAGGTCCCAATTCCCCCCCAGAGCCCCCCAGCACTGTGCCTGCTGCAGCCTCACTGCTCCCAGCGCATTCGGCCGCAGCTGCTGTGGGAC